AAAAAAAAATGCATGTTTATGTTCGTTGTAGAAAGGGAGGTATACATCTACAAAAAATACAGCCCCTATGGAGTCTGCATTAAAAAAGGTTTGTATCAATACTTCATAAAGTTTATTTTAAAAATATATAAAAAAGGCATAAAATGAACCCTTGCACAAATGTGAACCTTTGTATTAAAACGTATTGGTCCATAGTGTGTATGAGCCCTTGCTTTTCAGTTTTAGCAATAGGGGGTTTATTGATAACTCCGCATGAATAAACCTAAGTTACAGGGCTATTCACAAAAGGGTGAAGAGTTTGGAGAAGGCAGGGGAAGTGAACAATCTAGAACAACATAGTTGACTTGGAAAAATTCTCCAATTCACCTCACTTGCAAGTTCAGCTATGTTGTCCTAGATTGTTCACTTCTCCTACCTTCTCCAAACCCGTCACCCTTTTGTGAATAACCCTGTTAGATTTAGCAAGTCAGTGACAGCTCTTAGCTATTTTTTATATAACGTGTTACATTTATCCTGCTTCTCCACAGCAAGAGAGCTTGTAGTACCAAATAATGTGTAATAGCAAAATACTAAAATATGTACTATATCTAGCTCAAGCTACAGAAGGGGCTGACATCTGATAGAAAATAACTGCGTTAAACAGATGCGTTAACCTGTTCTTGAGCCTAATCTAGCAGGAAGATTCAACTATTAAGCTGATGGGGACCACTCCAAAACACTGTAACAAAAGATATGGACATTTTGGCATATTTAAACTTAAAATGGCAGCAAATCACATCATAGAAAAGGGAATTGTGTGGTAGAGACTTTTAGGAAGAAAATATTGAATAGTGATGAGTGACATGAGGATTAAAATGTAATTGTGTATTTAACGCTGTGGCAGACAGTGAAATTATCTAGTTTAAAAGGAGATATCTATTTTAGTAATTACCAGTCCTGTTCCGTTATGTTTATACATCCTCTACTAGCAGCTATTATAAAGAGCAGAAAGTTGTCCAACTTGCCTGTTGTGATTGCTAAAAGCCGATTTTGATTTGTCCTAGCACTATTAAATCTGTGTAACAAGCCTTTTTTGGTAATGCATTTTACTGGAAAGATGCCTTTTATTCTCATCAACAGTTATATCATGGGTAACTATGGTCCTAAACCTAAACACAAACCAGAAAGGAACCAGAGTGGTAAAATGTCTAAGGCAATGCACACCTAAGCATATCTAAAACTGCAGTATCTGATAGCTGTGGGTGATTTAAAAAAAGGATTGTGCCGGGCTATCTGGCCCTAATAGCATGTTGGCATCACAAATACAATACAATTTGCATTTAAGACCGCTTTGGGGTCTGTAGATCAATGTTTTCACCCATGAATCGCACATGTTTCGAATTTAATCTCATTTTTTTTTTCAAGCACGAGTCTTGGGCGAAAACATTGATAAATAGACCTCTTAGGTGCTGAAACCCAATTACAGACATCAGTCCACAGAAGTACGGGACATATAGCAGTTTATGTTATAGTATGTGTCAGTATTCAGCTGATGAGATATAAGCACTATGAGAAGAAATAACTCATAAAGAGATACTTCTAAATTGAGTAAAAATACTGAAACTGAAATACTCTTTCCTTTGTCTTTTTACATGAAAGATACAAAAAAAACAAATACAAATTCCTAGGACTAGATAGGATGGATCTCTAACCATCCCCATAATACTGATAATGTAAAACGTGGAATCTGAATAGCTAATTAAACAATAGCATAAGAAACAGATTTCTTACACATTTTTGTATGACTTCTCTACCTATAGTAAATCTTTTAGTTACATTACTAAATACTGTATCATTGCAGCAAAGCTCCAAGCTTAAACACAACATAGACTACTTGTATACTAGTCTCTATACTGTTTTCTGCTGTACTCCTCTACTTAGAAACAGAAAATACACCTTTTATTCTACTGATTACACCCACAGGGAATAAAGCTAACTTTAACAGTGACACACACATTAGAATACAGTACTTTCCGTGGAAGAAGACTAGAACTGACACAATTAATGTTACAATTCTTAGAAAATTGGGAGATCATTATATCCAGGAAAAGAGCGCATAGACATGAGGTACCCACTAGCTGGATCAAGCATGAAGCTTTGGTCAAGTGCCCAGACTAATGATATAATATGTATTCCTTTAGGAAAGCAGCCTTACTGGTCAGTCCAAAACTACCAAACATCTATACAGCTTTGTGCTACAGAGTTGAAGCTTGAAACAAAGTTGTGGAAACATTTTTCTTGCAATGTGGATCAACTCAGATTTCTACATTGCTTCCATCTGATCTCTCTTTCTATTTTACTTCAAATCTGACAGATTAGATCAAAGGAAGGCATCCACACCAAAACTGTTTCAGTTGAGCAGCATTGAGACAAGACTGCATGTAAAATTCTTTTAGATAAACTTTGAAAGATGATGTTTTTCCCTGTACTGCTTCTCCTTTTCTGAATCATATACACCATCCTGAAGTCACTGGGGATGACTCCAAATGTTGACAAACTTAGCAGCAATAGCAGGGAACTGTAAGCTTGTCTAAGCATTACAGCTGCAAAGATAGGCTACATTAACCACATTATTAGCCTCCAGATAAATCAAACGTAAAGCTGAACTGCAGGCAAACATATAAATACAGTTAAAATCACAAAAAGTGAACTGTCACACTTGGCAAAGATTTGTAACTCTGTTCAACCCATCTTTTAATCTGGGCATCCGTTCCAGACAGTATAGCTAGGTCCTGGATCTCCCTAAACCCAATACAGCTTGACTGGGAACCATCCAAGCCTATGAATGGACTATGATGGCTTTGCAACACATGGATGAAGCCATCCCTCTTATCTCTTTTGTGAGAAAGCTTCATGTTTTGCTCACAGTATGGACCTTCTGTCCTCTCCCACTCTAAATGCTGCTGGGGTTATTTAGTCATATTTAGGTACTTATAGGACAACTATAATTTAATATTAAACTCTTCTAATCCACGCCATTCCACTCCTCCTGAACTGACCTGTACAAACCCTCCTTCCATGTCTACTTCTTTCCTTTTGTTTTACCACTGCCACTTCCTTGAACTGGTAATATAGAGAAGATTCACCAGCACACCAACTGTGATATAACTTGATTCCAACATATCACAAAGAAAACTTGTGACTCTTCTCTATAATACTTGTAATTGTGGTGCCATCTGCTTGTCACTGCAGCACCCACCACAAACTTTGGGACCTACTAGTCAGGAGTGCGATGGGACACATGCAACACTTCCTTGCACTGTTTACTTCTCCTTTGGCAGAAAATTATCATCAGCACTGGCTAAGCATGTGCACTGAGGCCTCATAGACTTGTATGTGGCTATTCTATGAAGCAGTTCCAGAGTCTGGGATTGCCCCATACAGGTCTATGAAGGCTGAGCAAACACACACAGCTGGCGCAGCTTTTTACCAGAGGAAAGGACAAAAGATGAAAGGATGTGGTGCTGTCAACGGTAGGAAAAGAGCTGGAGATGGATGTTTGTGTGTGTGGGTAGGGGTATTAGAGCAGGTTATTACAGGAGGGGTGGATTAGAAGAGTTTAGCATTAAAGTACAATTGTCCTTTTAGCTAATTGTATAAAAATATATTTGATAATTATATTGAATGCACTGCTGGATTAAATTGTGTTTTAATAAACTTGCATTTGATAGCTTTAGGAAGCTGCTAAGCTGAACCAAAGGTCTTAAAATATAACTGTTATATAACCATCTCCTCAATATGATCATTGAGTCAGGTAGAAAGTGCCCAAATAGATTAATAACCACATGGTAATGACTTCTGTTCTATAAAAGGAACCTAAAATCACACACAAGACAGCTTATTTGCTGAATCTCACATTTGCGTGGCAAGTTGTGATCCAACTAAGGCATTTATCTTCCTGATAGAGCACATCCCTGCGCAAAAAATATTTAGTTACTAAATAGCTAGGAGTCAGAAAGGTACTAGGTATTTTTTTATGGTGTTTGGTTGGCACCCAGTATACAAGATTGTTTTCAAGTATGACATTCAAGCTCTTATCTATACCACATTGATTAACAGCAGAAACTAATGATATGCTGTCTAAATACCTGAATTAGTATAATCAAAATACAGAACAAGGTATTCTAAAATCATTCTAAAATCTAATAAAAGAGTGTTCAGTACCAAAACGAGTACTAGAATTTAAACTAAAAAGGAAAAACTGAAATTGTAACTTTATCCTGGCTAGTCTGTGGGTTGGTATGTGATAGGGTGACATCAACTATGGAGAAAATGGTCAGGAACCCAACCCTTGCATTCCCCAAAGCCCAACTAAGAACTCAACAACTGAATTTTGTTACTTTGTCCAAAAAAATCCTTTTTAATATTAAAGGTAAATTAAAATGATTTAGAAGTTACATGTTCTCAACATAGGAGAACACATAAGGGAAATCCACAAACGGATTGGGATGTCAGGAATTCTCCTCCTACACATAATTAAACTGGCAGTAGCAGTGCTGTTATTGCAGTCATCTGGGTATAGAAGCAGCAAACTTTCTTTTCCTGCTTGAATATGAATAAGAACAAGAGCATCATAAAAGCCCTTTGGCACAAAGTTTGACGCTAACATACAAATTCATTACGCCTTACATAATTCAGTGGTTCGAAATGTCTTTCTTAGCAAGAATATGGCCTAAGCAGTTCACCCTGTACAGCTGCTGCCATTCCGAAAAACAAGAGTGAATAAAAGGGAAAATACATTTTCTTCCAATAGTTTTTGTCCTAAGATGGTGAATACCTGACATAGTATTTGTGACTTTTAGATATTGAACCCCACCTATACAAGCAGCAATGTTTGAACTCTTGAGATCCAGTGCAATGTATTAGAAATAAATGACACACCAACCTTAGGTGTGATTGCTATTGAATAATGTTTTTTTAATAATTTGCCATATTAGACTTGGGAAAAATGTCATATAAAAATTAATTAATACTTTGATATAGCATTGCCTTGAACAAATCTTCGTGGATGTATAGGCCTCTTTATATCCTACTGTGATTCCAATTTTATTAAGCGCCCAGTATTTACAGTGCAGTCCTGAGTCAGAATCAGGCAGAAAAATCTGTGTTTCAGCACCCCCTAATGGCAGAAAAGTATCAACACGCTGTAAGGTTTACTGTACAGGTCCAGGAATGCGTATTTTATATCACAAAGGGAAGCAAAAGAGGCATTAGTGGATCAGTTCATTGAACTGATCAGAGGGGTAAAGTCATCAAGAGAAGCTATATAAAAAGAGTATGTTGTCATCTGTTTCAGATGATTAAAGTGCATTACAACTCTGTAACAGTCTTGAAAACATCCACAAAAACTCAGCATATCTTGCTTTGAGTTCCACACACAGTGTTACAACACTGAATCTCACAAAGACTTCACTCTCCTATTAATATGGGTAGGAAGAGACATTTCCTTTTGTAATCCTTGAAGTGCATCCTATGGCAAGTCAAATGGAATGTGTTGACACCTCAGACTGCTGCCTGATGTAGGTCTGGAAACTTTTATCTCCTATCGGATGTTCTCTGAAAGAGGAAACAGAGCAGTCATTAGACTAATTTCTTTCATTTCAGAACACACTTAGAATAAACAAATGTAATGGTGTGCGAAGGTGCCGCTATACGTAAAGTAGGAATCATCTCTTATACAAAGCAGATTATTTTAACAACACTTTGATTGTGAGAATAACAAGCATCTTAGAGATACCCTCCAGTCAAATTTGAAAGATAAGCATGAAATTGTAGGGATCAAAGCCTAATGCCTTCAGTTTGTTTGTTTGATTTTTTATTTGGTTTTAATCAAGCCATAGCTACAGTGCTCCAAAACACTCCAATTCCTGAAACAGCCTGTTGAATTTAATCTGGTTGTGGATCAAACCAAAAAGTATATGGGAGATTCTCCAGATATGTAGCTGCTAGAAGTTACATACAGTTGCGACAGAGATAATAAAGAGTTGTTTTGCTGATGAAGACTATTTGTCCATGAGTAATAGATATCTAATTTGTACTAGAGAGCTGGCCCCTCACAAAATAAAATAAGCAAGATTCTAATAAGAACCTGGCCATAGATGGCCCACCAAGTACACTTGTAATGTTCATCATAATGTTTGCTTATGCTAATCTTTACATACAAAGCCATTGTAGGATCATATATGGTTAGATATTTCCTCAGTCAATGGCCAATGAGATAACTAATTTCTTGAACTTTGTCACCTGCTGTAATGTGGCCTACAACTCGGCTGATGAACACAAGTAGTGTGTGCTTGAGAGATGTGCTTGATATTACTACCTAGAGAATGCCCACATGTGCTCACATATTTTAAGCAAGACATAACTATAGTGCTCCTAACCACTCCAATTCCGTAGTCTTCTTGAATTTAACCTGGTGGTGGAACCCACCCAGAAATATAAGGGAAATTTGCCTGTTATGTAGCTTCAAGGGATTACAAACAGTTGGGATACAGTTGCTTTTTTCAGAAGTATAATATTCAAGCTATGTGTGGCTTCCTTTACTCCACCTTGAGATAAATATAGGATAAGAGATGTTGTACTTACTGACTTCCATATTTAGTCTTCTTGAATTTATCCCGTTTGTACTGAGCATGCTCCTCTTCTAATGTCTTAACAGCTTCTATAGTGCTACATAGTGTTTTGTAGGTTTCACGAGGGTCATCTATAATGAAGCTGCTGTATTCTTCTTGTTCAGGGCCATCATACACTGACCGACTACCACAAGCCTCTGCAGGACAGCAAAAAGTGGGATCAGTGGTCTTACAACATACCTTTCACTTCTTCTACCACGATATACCGTTACAGTAAGCAAAGCCACTCCTATATTAAGAGTAAAGTCTTTAGGAAAAAAAAATGCACACACACGGACATTCAGCAACAGGGACAGGGGGAAGAACCAAATGCACTACAAGTATGGTGATGTCATCCCACCTGTAGTCCACTGAGAACTAAAAGTCCATCCGCTGTGTTGTAGGTGGGACTTGTAGTTTCTCCATTCACAGATCCTGTCAACTTGTAGTTTCTCCATTTACATTGATGAATGATCACTCAACAGAATATCTAGCTTGATTTCAATCAGTTTGGTTTAAGAGGAAGAGTTATTTGGAATACTTCCGGTTGAAGGCAATCTCCGGCAAACAAAAAAAACTTACCCTTGCAGTGGGGCTGCCCCTGCTCTACATAAAGTGCTCCTTTATGTGTAGGGGACACTATTAAAGCTATTTTTCCTGATTCCCGCCATCTCTGTTCAGGCTAATAGATCGGTCCCCACAGCCTCTTCTCCTGTTTGCTCCAGCAGTTTAAGGTCCGCTGACATCATCACGTCTTATGCAGATTAATTTACCTGCATTAGACTTGAGGACACAGTGGGACATTCCGCCAGCCAGAGCGGAGGGGAAGAAATGAGTGTTGACCACCGCAGGAGCCGGGATCACATATGTAAAACAGTCACATTTAAAAAAAAAATAGTAATTAACCCCTGCAGCGCAGGGGTAGCCCTACTACAAGGGTAAGTTTTTTTTTCATTGCCTGAAGATGTGCTTTAAACAAACCAATCAATAAAGGCATAAAATACATTTTCCCAGCAACAGTCAAAAGCTTTTGGTTGATTTTTATTATTAACAATCAGATCAATGTAAACAAGCTTCCCCTTGATGTTAAACTGAACACATGTTGAATCAGTCAGATAAAAATGTGATGCAGATATGGCCAGCATTACACTGTATTAAGACTACTGTATTAAGAAGGGTATGCACTGAACGTTTCTAGTCTATAAAATGAACTCACCTTGCATCTTTTCTAGCTTGTGCATGTAAGTGTTAAAGAGGGAGTAAATGCGCTCTGTTTCCCTATCGCCATCAATGACAATTTGGATGTTTGCTGGTAGACCACTGTGATAAAAGAAGAAACCCAGTTATTAGGGTTAAAAGGATGTGTGTGCAAAGAGTCATTACCATATTTACTATAGGCCATAGAATAAAGTGGAAAGAAAATACAGCAACATAATAAGGAAGTCCTACCCAGTACAGGGACTGCAGCCAGGGGCATTCTCTGAAATAGCTTTACAGCACAACCAATGTCCATTTAGATACGCAGAGGGATGGAAAACAGTGAGACGCTTCATGTTACACTGGCTGACTTTGGTGAGGATATCTATCCAATCCTTTGCTTCCACACAGTTATTTGCTTGAATATACAAAGTACGGACTGGTTGTATGACTTGAAACATCTTAAAGGACAAGACACTAAGATTAGAAGGACATTTTCATATTAATACTTAATGAGAATATGATAATGGTGACTATGAATATTTTATTATGTAAATTTAACAAGCCTAAAAATGCCTTATGTATGAGACTGAGAATCCAAAAGTTACATTCTGTCTACTTACATTCTTCATTTTGAAGGATTCCTCTTCCACTTTCTCTACTGCTAGAATGTTTTCAATTGGAATATTGCAAAGTGCGTGATCACCTGCAGGGAACACAGGAAACATGAATGTATCATTAAAGCACAATCCAGGAGATGGAGTCATAGAGCAACTTTTCAGGCTGTCTGAATAAATAAACTGCAACATGTTGTCATGATAGGCAGAACATCTGGCAGAGTTTCATCTCTTTAGACATTGGAGCAGTCTTCATACTACACTTGGAACCCCACCCCATTTCACATTTACCATTTTTTTTTAAACGTAACACCAATGTCTATGTATACGGTGTTCTGCATTTCTGGGCATATCATTTGTAAGTCCAGACACAACTTTTTTTTACATTTTGGAGAGCATGAGGAAGAATTAGAACTCCTGTCAGGTTTTACTGCTATCTGGTGCTCTGTTAGAAAGATTTGACAACTGTTTTCACCAGCCAGGAAGTAAGGGGAAATATCTAACAGGAACACAGACAGAAATACAATTGTTTTATTATGTAGAATTGGGGAGCACTAGATTGTATCTGTATCCCTGTTGCAGGTTTCCCCTCACTTCCTGTCTACTTCTGTGACAGTAAGTGAGGTGAAATCTCCCTAACGGAGCCCAAGATATTGGATAGAACACAACAGGGACTGCATTCCTTCAACACTCTATCTAAAAGTAAAGAAAAATAATTGGCTGAACTTGCATGTTAAAGGAAAACAATTAGGTTTTATGCACACTGTTGCGCTACATTAGCACACAGGGTTATGTGTGTTATGCCACACGTTAACATGTGTTGCCTTAAGACTTTGTTCAAACCATGTCTGGACCAGATCTTGAGCAGATCTGTTGATGCAGTGCAGTGCATTTTGCCGCATTTTTACTGTGATTTTTGCTGCGTTCCAGAGCGGGGTTTTTGGGGGGGGGGTTTGGTCTAGCTTAAGATGGGCTTTCAGGTGCAGTCTGGTGCGTTTGCATTTTGTTTTTGCATTTCCATGCGTTCCAGTGCATTCCAGATCAGAGAAATTGAGACAAGCAGTATTTTTTGTGTGTCTGGTCCGGAACAGACTGCGCTGGTGTGAATAGAGCCCAGAAATAACATAGGGATACATTGGGATGCTTTTTTGGTCCAGGAACAAACTGTTCTGGTTTGGACATGATCCGGACATGGTGTGAACAAGCCCTCAGGCAGCCCATTCAACACCATAAAAAAGTGCATGTAGCATTTTTGCCAGAACAGTCCACGGCATTCCAACGCTATCCACATTATTATGTTGTCCTAGGTAACAATAGGTAACGAAGGACGTAGGTAAAAAAGCATGTTGGTTTGCAAGGTGCATTGGAGGGCAATTCAGAATAAATGGCACTGCGCTGCACCAATATAGTAGGTGTAACAGTGTGAACAGGCTGCAATAGTTTTGTGTCCATTTAAAATAAATTATTTTAGTTAATAGGTTTTTAAAAGAGAGAAAGAGAGAGAGAGAGAGAGAGAGAGAGAGAGAGAGAGAGATTGCCAAAATTCTTTACATGCATGACAAAGGATTCTCAGAAAACTATTGCTGCTATGGGTAAAGAGACAGCACAGCAGCAGTCATTAAGTCTGCCTCCTTCAAATGGAGCTCTATGGAGGGAGGGAGGAAACATGTGAAAAGGGAACTAAGAGTGTCGTCTGCAGGCTGGATATAAGAATACAAATAGTTTCACATTTACCTGACTAAGTAAAGAAAGAAAATATGCACAAAACCACTGCACGTTTCCTATAAACAATGTAGTTTTTACCTAGTGACAAAATATGTATAGTAGCAGTAGTAATATACCATCCGTAGTGGTATACCCCACTATAAGCTTTTATTACTAGTAAAGCCCATGTAAAATGCAGCTAACACTGAATTATCAGCCCCTACACAGCTGTTCTCCTTACATCACAGAAATTAAAAGTATGAGATTGATAACATAACTATACAACCCTCCCTCCATGCCAAGGTGCTTGGTGTCATCCTTGACTCAGACCTCACTTTCTGCCCCACATCCAATCACAATCTAAATTCTGCCGCCTTCATCTTCGTAACATTTCCAAAATATGCCCTTTCCCCACCAATGAGACCACAAAGTTACTCATCCACACATCTCTCGTCTTGACTATTGCAACTCCCTCCTCATTGGCCTACCTCTGCACAGGCTATCCCCCCTTCAGTCTATCATGAATGCTGCTGCTAGACTCATCCACCTAACCAACCGCACAGTGTCTGCAACCCCCCTCTGCCAATCCCTGCACTGGCTTCCAATAGCTCAAAGGATAAAATTCAAAATATTAACAATGACTTACAAAGCCATCCACAACTCTGCCCCAGGTTACATCTCCAACCTTATCTCAAAGTATCACCCTAACCGTCCTCCCCGCTCCTCTCAAGACCTCCTGCTCTCTAGCTCCCATGTCAACTCCTCCCATGCTTGCCTCCAGGACTTCTCTAGAGTCTCTCCCATCCTTTGGAATGCTTTACCTCAACCTGTCCGTCTACCTTCCACTCTTACTGCCTTTAGGTGATGCCTTAAGACTCATCTCTTCAAGAAAGCCTATACTACCTCAAAGTAACCACTGAACCATCACATTCTCAAACAATTCATCCCCACACAGCTACCTCCTCATGTATCACTTGCCCCTCCCTTTAGATTGTAAGCCCTCACGGGCAGGGCCCTCCTTACCATCTTGTCTTGAATTGTATAGTGTTTGGAATGTCTTCCTTACATTGTAAAGCGCTGCGCAATCTGTTGGCGCTATAAAAATCCTGTATAATAATAATAATAAGATCACTTTTTTTAAAGCATGAGTATCATGGGTCAGACCAGGAGCACCATATGCAGCCCTTAAACTTCCAGATGGGCGTTTCTAAATCACGGTCCGTTCCCTGGTGCTGGCTAATCAGACACAGATCAACCATACTAACAGTGGGATAAGCAAGCTTTTACAAACTTCACAAAGTGTACATCAGGAGACATCTGACAACTTAAAAATATTAATGATTAACTGAGTGGTTGGGAGTGCTACAAATGGATGTTTCAGCCTTCTTCTTTGAAGGCCTACAAAGATATCTATGCATGAGTTACCTTTGCTTTTCTGGTATGTAAACTCATGGTTTGAAAGGCGAAACCATCGCTTCTTGAAATTCTTCATACCGAAGCGCTTCCTTCCCTGAGCTCTTTTGATCATAACTCTGGGTGAAGTGGAACAAGGTAGAACACTCATTATCTCTGCAAACAAGGCTTACAAACAATTAAAGCATTAAGGTTTTGACACACAAACCCACTAAGCTTTCTTCTCATATGTAAATATCCATTTCACACAAATAAAAGAAAAATCCTCAGTGTGAAATCTTTGCAAACCTTTTAGTGGGAACCAAGCCAATGCTGCTTATCTTTGTTTTTATGTGTACTGTCAAGTGTAATCTTTTATCATTGTAGTCCACAATTTACTTCCATTCTCCAGGCAAACAGCTAATACACATATGAAATACATCGAAGGGAGCTGTTTAACCTGCCAAAGGATTTATATGTCTGTTAATCCATTCCTGAGATTTACACAGCACAACCCTGTGTGTGTGTGGGGGGAGGTTGGGATTTGGTGGTGCAAGT